AAAAATTGCCCAAGGCAATGAGGTCCTAGGAGGGAGCTAGAACTGGGACCAAGGCCAGGGCTGTCCACTGCTCCAGGCTGACTGGTAGAGGATGCTCCAGCCACCGGCTACCACTGCCACAGATAGTGAAGCAGTGACACTCAGTGCCCTGTCCTCACCTGTCAAGCGAGGGTGGTGGTGGCACCTAGGACAGTAGCACTTGGGATGTAGGCGTCACTGTGGACACCGCTTATTAATAACACAGAACGGGATGTGGCAGCCTGTCTGAGCTGGGCCTCCCCACAGATGTCTGTAGTAGCCAGTCTGAAGAGTATAGGAGCCCTTGGAAAGGCAGGCTGCCCTAGCAGAGGGACATAGGGGAAACAGCCGAACCCCCTCGTCAGGTAAGACTTGAGGCCAAGAGGTAAGCAGGGAGTTGGCATGGCTCTTGACGTGAGCCCCCACTCTCTAATGTTTGTCATGTTGAGCCTCAGTTGCACATCCAGTAAAACTGGGGATAGCCAGATCTAGCTCCTGGGGTTTGGGATGGTTCCATGGGCCAAGGGATTAGCACTGAGGTGACAGATGGCAGTCATTTCTTCTTCAACAGAAAGTCTTGAACCCGGTTCTTTCCCATACTCTGGCCCCCTCTTCAAAGAGCTTCTGGTGTCGTGGCTTGTCCTTCTCTGTCTCTCAAGTACTCTCAGACTTTCAGGGGACTGGGCCAGGCACCAATGTCCACCCAGCCTACCCTCTATGTAGGAGATGGATGGATGGAATTTGCTGGTCTCCACTTGGTCACGCCCTTTCTCTTTCTGAGCACCTTTGCTCTGCCCCACCCCGCACACCCTTCACTGGAGTTCCCTGCCTCTCCTTGTAAGCTGCCCTATTCAGCTCCTGCCACCCACTGATTCCTGCTCAAATCCCAGTCGGAGACCTCACGGACACTCTGCCTACTGACCCACTCCAGGACTGGGGAGGCCAGGGTGTCTCCAGACGCAGCTCCCTTAGCTCTCGCTCTCCCTTGTGTCTACAGAACCACTGGCTGGGTCACAGCTCTGTGGAAGACGCCAGGGCCACGATGGAGCTCTACAAAATCTCTCAGCGACTCAGAGCCAGAGGCCAGCCAGGACTGTCCCGCCTAGGGGCATCATACTGAAGGTCATCCTCTTCCAGGGACCAGAAGCTTCCACTCCTTAAGGACGGTAGTTTTCCACAGATGAGACCCGTTTCTAATAGCAAAAGCAAAAGCAAAGACAAGAACACTCCTCCATGACAGGGTTTCTCTTGCTTTTGGGGAAAAAACAAAAAACAAAAAACAAAAACGAACAAACAAGCAAATACAAAAAAAGAAAAAAAACTTTAGTAATAAATCACACTGTATTTTATCTAATCAACATTGGAACTTGTCTTTTGTCTTCCTTGGTGACAGAATGAAGATTTATGCCTAGGAAGTTAGCAAGTGCCTCTCTCTCTTCCCCTTTCCCTCCCCTCACTTCTCCCAGGTCTATTTATTACTTTGCACATTGCAAAGAGAACACTGGGCAGGCAGTAATAGGAAAACTTGCTTTTAAATTCTTCTTGATCCCAGGCCCACCTTGAGCTTGTGACTGTCCCCACTCAGCCTACTGAGCATGAGCATTATAGGAGTGTAGTACCGCAGCCAGTTTAGATACTAGAGACCTTTGCCAATGCTTTCTTTCATACACTTCAGGAGATTGAAGCTAGGCTCCCCTCTATGTTAGGCAAGTGATCTACCATTGAGCCACATCTCCAGCCCTCCCCCCTCAACCTTTTGCCATTAATTACTTTTATTTTTGAATTTTAAACCTTATTATAAAAAAGTTGCAAGAAAAAAACATGCACCAAAATTCGATTCCAAGACTGTACAACTCAACGACCATCTGTAGACAATTGGGATGAAAGCTGTGGAGTGTCAATTTGATTTTATGCTTTCACAATGTATTTTTAGGCACTGTCTGTCACCAAAACAACAACAGAAAACATCCATGACAGAGTGAGAACTAGAAGGAACAGTTGGCTTTATATCATCCTTCCTGACGTGTTGATGCCGGTACTTCCGCATTCTATCACGTCTCCCCTTCTCCTCTCTCTCCCCTTTCCTTTCCCCTCCCTTTCTCCTCACTGCTCCCTCCCTCCCCACTCCCCTCACCCCACCATGTGTATGAATGCAGGCCACTGTGGCCCATGTGTGGGGGTCAGAGACCAACCCTTGGGAGTTAGTTCTCTCCTCCTACCACATGGGTCCCACGGATCAAGCTCAGGTCATGAAGCTTGGTGACCAATGCCTTTACCTCTTCCCTGTCTCCCTTCCTCCCTCCCTTTTTCTTAGTACTGAGGAGTGAACCCAGGGTCTTGCACATGCTAGGTACTCTATCACTGGGCTACACCCCCCTCCTTTTTTTTTTTACTTTGAAAAGGGTCCTCACTAAGTTGCCAAGTTGGCCTTAAACTTGCAATCCCTATGCCTCGCCCTGGCTGCTAGTGTGATTATAGGCCTATGCCCCTGGCCTTTCTCGGGAACTTGAATCCTGTGCATCCAAGGAAACCACTTTGGAATCTGAGTAACATACGTTTTAAGGCCCTTCTCTTCTTGTTGAATTTACATCGAGGGGCACTGTTTCCTAGGCTTCCTGTTCGGGTGTCAACCCACCCCATCTTGAGACTGGCGCATTGAAGCAGAGGCCCTGAAAGTGTCTTGGAGCCGGCACTGCCCTCCCTCCTCCTCCTCCTCCTCCTTCTTCTTCTTGTTTTTTTCTTTTTTTTCCTTGAGACAGGGTTTCTCTGTAGCTTTGGAGCCTGACCTGGAACTAGCTTTTGTAGACCAGGCTGGCCTCGAACTCACAGAGATCCTCCTGCCTCTGCCTCCCAAGTGCTGGGATTAAAGGCGTACACCACCACCATTGGCTTCTCCCTTCTTTGTAAAATGAGAAAGCCTAGAGTCCAAGGGAACAAGGCCAGGAGGCTAGCTTTGCCCTTTAGGAGCTGTGTAGCCACCAGCAAGCTCCTGACTTTCCTAAGCCACAGCGTCTCTGCCAGTGACACAGGAGTCCCAAGGTGACATCAGGTATTTATGAGCTGTAGTCTGCAGACTGTGAGCACCGCTCCTGTCTTCTCTTAACAGGCCAAGGGTCAGTAACTGTCGTCATCATTTCTTGGGCTGCGGCCAGAATCTGCATCCCAACTCCCATTCTCTAGCCCTTGTGATTTTCAGCGCAAGAATTCAGACATGAGCCACAGAGCGCAGCGTAGAAAAACAGGATTTTATTGCAAAGTAGGTTCCAGTAACAGGGAGAGCAGACGATGGCCAAAGAGACCAGCGTCTGGACCTACGCACCAGGCAGGCTTTATAGTATGTCTATTATCCCCAGCAGTCCTGTTAGGCCTTTGTTCTGCTCCATGGTGGGAGATCTCTTTGGACTGGGTCTCTCTGACTTGCAGGAGGAGGCTAAGTGCTGGGTCGCGTGTGGCGGGATGATGCGTCTTTTATTCTTTACTAGAAGGCTTCCCTTTTCCCGTGAACTTCAAGACTCCATAGAACCCATTTCAAGTAGTTACCTCAGGCTGTCCAAGGAGTCACGTTAGCCTAGGGGGTCACTTTTCTTCCCTCAGCAAGAAAAATGATTCTGGCCCCAACCTGTGACCCTCACTACCCAGCAGTCCCTGTCCTTTGTGTTCTAGACTTTAGGAGGGAGGGTCCAACTCCTAAGTTCTCCAAGTCTGCTGATGTCTACCTACCTGAGTGGGGCTTTAACCCAGATCAGCAGACTGGGAAGCTGTCAGTACCTGATCCATACTGAGTGTGAGCACACTGTACTCAAGTCCTGGGGTTCCTCAGGAAGCACCTCCTGGCTTCAAATGGCAGAAGATCAGGCTCACACACGGAAGCTGAAAAACCAAAGATGCCTCAATCGGACTACAAATGCCGGGTCCTATTCTAGTGGATCTGCCGCTGGACACTGGCACGGATGAGAACGGCCATCTGCATCTGATTCTAATGGGCAGGGACCTTGTCACGATCAATTTTTCTCCCGGGCAATGGGAGCCTCCCTGGGAGGCGTGACCGACTTTGAGTGACAGGTGAGTGCTGTTTGAGTGACAGGTGAGTGCAATATGCAGCCACAGTTAACAGGTGGCCTAGGCAAGGGAGGACTTGGTCACCCACCCAGCTTCTTCTCCGGGGACAGCTGATACAGAGAGAGGTCCGAGGCCCTGCACATTGGCTAGCCCTGCTTCACAGATGAGAGGCTCACGGTAAGAGGGCTGAGGATGCGGCTAATTTGTTAGGGTGAGTACCTAGCAATCACAAAGCCCCAGGTTCGTTTCCCCAGCACCTTGTAAACCAGGTGTGGTGATGTACACCTGGGATAGCACTGGGGAGGCTGAGGCGGGAAGATCAGAAGTCGAAGGTCGTCACTGGCTACACAGCCAATCTGAGACTAGTTTAGCCCACTTGATATCCTGTCTCAAGCAACACAGCACATAGCACATAGCAGGTAAGGTTGGGATCTGAGGGATTCTGGTCTGGTTCTACCTCCCCACAAACCTGAGGTGCTTTACAATGGTAATGCCTGCCATCTATGCTACTGAACTCCGGGCACTTGGGGACTCCCCCTCAGGAGGGGAAAGTGCAGCTCTCATTCTCTGTGTGCTCCCTCAGGCCTCACACCCCTCCCCTCCCTCCACCTTGCCGGTTTGTTGTTTTCTATGAATCTGGGAAATCCGCGGTTGCGTTTGCCCTAGCTGGCTGCCACCCACCACTAGGTGGCGGTCATGGACTATCAGCCTAACAGGCCTCCTTGGAGGCACACAAGAGATGCTTTTAAAAACTTGGGGCACTGATCAGGTACCGCTGGCTAGCCATTGGTTTTTTTTTTTTTTTTACAGAACTTGCCTCAAGTTTATTTGTAAAAACAGCATAAGGTCCTGAACATCTGCAAATACTGTATAGATATTCACACCAGTCCATCTGTCTTCACATTGGCAGACTGAGACCTTTATTATGGGGCTTTCACAGGGGCCTGGGCACCTTTGGGAGCCTGAGCTGCAGCTGAGGCCTCTGCCTTGGCTTGAAACTTGGGCTTTGTTTTTTGGAGCCTATGACCCCTGGCCATGTAGCTTCTAATCCGCTTCCCAAGCTTGGGATGAGCAATTAAAGCCCGATGGGTGAGTTTGCGGCTGGGGCCCTTTGGCACCACCTGGGGCTTGATGGCCTCCGCACGTGCACTCATGGCCTTTGCATTCTTTGCCTGCATCTTCTTCAGGCCTTTCTTGTTGTGCTTCAGGAACTTGGGGTCGACCCCCTTGAGAGATTCGTATCTTTGTGACCTGGGTTTCTTGATGCCGTTTCTGTGCCATTTCCGGGACTGGTTGTGTGTGGTGTGGTTCTTGGACTTGGCCATAGCTGGATGGTAATCGGCGGCTCTCGAAGCGCCTGCGACCAGAAGAGAAAGCTAGTCACTAGTCTTAATCTCAGAAGGGGGCCGAGATATGACCCAGGTCCAAGGAGGCTGGCTCCAGGCTCTCTAAATCACAACCCACATTTCTTTCTGTGGCTTCCAGTTCTTTTGAAAGGCAGGACAAACCTAGATTCTTTTTTGTTGTTGTTGTTTTGTTTTATTTTGATTTGGTTTTTCGAGAAAGGGTTATTTCTGTAGCTTTGGAGTCTGTCCTGGAACTAGCTCTTGTAGACCAGGCTGGCCTCGAACTCACAGAGATCCACCTACCACTGCCTCCCAAATGCTGGAATTAAAAGCGTGTGCCACCACTGCTTGACTCAAACCTAGGTTCTTAAAGGAACTCTAACTGAACTTCCTGCTTCAGGTTGGCCTGCTTGGGAGGGAGCCTAGCTGTTACCCAGGGGTACAAAGCCTATGGGAAGAGCCTGCATCTTACAAGACACTTGCTCCTTGTTCCCAGCTGTCCTAGAGGGGACCCTGAGGACAAGACCCAGGAAAGAGAAGGATTCAAGGTTAGCATCTACTCTGAGGGCCCAGAATGTATCACATATTTCTTTAATGGTTTTACTCAGACCCCTGGCCAGCCCAACATCTTATTCTCTACCACAAAACCACCCTCCCCACTTTTCTCAGACCTCACACATAGTAGGGTCTTTGATCAATGGCTGTGGGGGCGGTGATTGGGCTTTTTGGAGCCAGGAAAGATAAGTGTCTTCTATCTGTCTGGGGCTGGTAGAGGGCTATTTGGCATTGAAGATGAGTCACCCCCTTGCCACCTAGCCCTGAAACATAGAGGAAAGTTTGGGGAGGTACTGGAAATAACGGTTTAGAAATGACCGGGCCTGGCTGAGCACATACCTGAGTCAGCTCTGACTCAGCCCCAGATTGTAGGTCGCCTGCCCCTGGCGAACTCCTGGTTCTTCGCTCCTCCAGTCCAGCAGCTGAGTGAGAAAAGCAACCCCCCCCCCCCCGACACACCCCATCCATATGAGAGACCATCAGCATCCTCCTGGGCCCCCACCCTGAAAAGTTCAATGACCCAGGCATCAGAACCCAGCACCCCGGCGCCTTCCCATCTTTTTGGAGGGTGCCAGCCAACTCAGCCTGGTCCAGCTTCCAGGAATGGGAACCAGCGCTGCCCAGCTTCCTGCCCAGCGCTCTGCGGGCTGTGCCAGCTTCATGGCCAAGAGTCTTACTCACTCTCGGAACAATTTCTCCTCTATATGGAAAGAACATATGCTTTGCAGGCTGTGGGATGAGAAAGCTGAAGGAAAAGGCAGGGCGCTGGCCCAGCCCCAGCCCCAACTCTTTCTTTTCAAGCCACATGTGTTTCGTGGCAGAACCTGGAGGCCTCCGCTCCAGGGAGGCCCCGGGGACAAAGTCTAAACCCCATGTTGTAGGCGGGAGGTTCCAGCCCTTCTCCTTTCCCATTTTCTATATTTGAGACTCAGTTTCCACTCTGGGGCCTAGACCATCTCTGCTTGGTTGAGCCCTTCCCATGTCTGGGGTGGAGGTGGGGAGTCGTGGATGAGGGGCAGATTTAAAAGAAGCATTCTTTCTATGGAGTTAGCATCGTTCCTGCAGGGGATACGGAAGGGCTGGGATCGCGCAGTACAGACTAGCGTGGTGCGTCTGAAATCCTGTAAGTCTGGCATGGGGTGCCGCTGAGAAAAGGGGCGGAACCTGCCAGGCAGTGTGTAGTCTGGGTTTGGCTGGTTTGTTTCTTGGCTGGGCGACTCTGGGCAGACTCTGTCCCCTCTCTGATTCTTGAACTGTAGCTGGAGAATGACAGTAACATCCCCCGAGGGCTAGTGTGGGGGTCAGAGGCGGTGTGGCACACGCTGAACTCCAGCGACCCGCTCAAAGGGACGCTCTGCTCAAACGGGCAGCAGGGCTTGCTCTGAGTGGGAGACCGGCAGCGGCAAGAAGGAGCGGCATCAGTGTGGAATCAGCTGGTCCTCCGAAACAGTAATGTCTTGGGGCACCTACTCCTTAGTCTCTAGTTAGAATACATATGTACCTGTATTCCTGGGCTTTTATCTTAGAAAAACAGAAGTGCACGTTCACAACAAAAGCCTGAACATAAGTGTTTCTAGCAACCTCCTTAGAATACTCCCCAAGTGGAAACAGCCTGGCGTCCACGGGTGAATGAGAGTGTTTAGATAAACTATACCATGTCCATAGCATGTAATTTTGCTCTGAATGGGAAGAAGCAAGTCATTGACACATTCCACCACATGAGTTAGTCCCTGGAGAATTATGCCAAGTGAAGAACGGGTCCCAGCAGGTAGAGACTGGATGGTTCCATTTATCGAAATGTTGTGGAATCGTGCAATGATATAACTCTCAAAATAAGATTGGTTTTGCAGTCGTCAGGGCCTAAGTCTGGGGGACAGTATAGCATTCTGAGAAGGGAGCCCTCTCATAACCACAGAATTCTCCACGCTGTACCCGAGAATCTGCATTCTGTCTGTATCTCTTGACCCTGTTGTGAGATGGCAGGATTTCTCTGAAGAAGCTGGCCAAGCTAATGGCCATGACCTGCAACATTGCTGACTAGGATCCTTGTAGTTTGGAATCTAAGTTTTTCCCAAAGGCTCCTCACTGAAGGCTTGGTCCCCAGCCTGTGATGCTATTGGGAGGTGGTGGAGACCTTAGGAGATGGGATCTAATGGAGGAAGCTGGTTCACTATCTAGGTCACGCCCCTGGAGGAGACATTGGAGACTTTGGCCTCTTCCTTTGGTCTCTATCTGCTTTTCAGGCACCGTGAGGTGAGCAGCGCTGGTCCACCACATATCCCCAACATGATGCTCGGCCTTCATCATGAACTCTGAGTGACAGGGCCAGTCATGGACTGAGACCTCTGAAGTTGTTAGCCCAGATAAGGCTTCCTCTTCAGATTCCCCACAGCAGTGGGAAAGCAGCTAAAACAGAAGCACAGGGCCCAGCTGTGCTTCTGTCTCCGGCTAGGTGAGGCCAAGAGTCAAGGCCATTGCAGCAGGAAGGAAGCTCTCAAGCAAACCGAGTGTACCACTCTTCAATGTAAGGGGCCAGCAGAGGATGAGAAGCCATAGCCAGACAAACAGAAGGGGAGAGTTGAATAATAGATAAGATGTGGGAAAAAAACTCAAAGAGAAAAGGGTAGAAAAATGAAACTATAATATACTCAGAAAAGCAAGAGGGTTTTGCACCCCCTAGTAACACCATTTTAAAGAAATATTGCATGAACTTTAAATTATGTACCAAAAATGTCAAGAGAGAGAGTGACAGACAGACAGACACACACACACAGACAGAGAAAAAAAAGAGAGAGACAGAGAGAGAGAGAGAGAGAGAGAGAGAGAGGAGAAAGGGATTCAGCAAGGAATTCAACATCTGAGAGAAAATGGAGACAACACAAAAACACAACTCTTGCCTCAAAGGGGACAAGAGAGAGTTTATTCACAGATGCAGGCTATCCAGAATTCCATGTTCTAATGCAGCGGTGGTTTCTTGAAGTTTCTGCAGCAACAAAACCAAGAAAGTCATAAATCAAGGAACTTTTCAGACCTCAGGTAGGCGGGTTGCAGGAAGGTAAGGGAATTCCAGGTACAGGCATTATGTTCTTATCCCTTTGAATGGTGGGAGCTAACTGGGCACGCCAAAGGATTTATCTAATGGTCACAAAGATGTTGGGTCACACGCAGAGGTGGGAATAAATGCCTACCAAGGGAGCTAAGGGCGGCCTGAGTTAAGTTACAGTTAGGCTCTGGAGCTTCAGCATCAACACCCCAAGCTCTCCGCAGTGGTTCCAGCTGGTCACGTATTCTCTCTTGCAGAAGCTTCCGTGTAACATGAGGTTCTTTCCAGGAAATCCTCATTCCCAGTAGAGAGGAAGAAAAACTCCCAGAACTGGGGACACGTCACCTAAGAGTACAAGATGACTAAAGGAGAAGCTAAGAAACACCACTGCGGGAGTTAGATTACTGTGGGTTAAGAAAGGACCACATAGAAGTCTTCAGAGAGGAGTCTTGGGGTTTACTCCACAGACTAGACGCTAAAGGGCATCAGATGTCTCAGGACTGGTAACCTGAAGACAAATGAAGCTTATTTCTGGGAGTTCAAGTAAGCTTAGGCTTCATCTTGAGCACCAGGCTAACTAGGGCTATTGAGACCCTGTCCCAATAACAACAACAACAAATCTGTACTTCCAAAACTTATTTTTCAGATTTCCTTTTAAAGAAGCAATTTGTGTGTGTGTGTGTGTGTGTGTGCGCGCGCGTGCGTGCGCGGGTGTGTGCGGGTGTGTGCGGGTGTGTGCGGGTGTGTGTGTGTCACACAAACGAAGGAGGAAAATGAAAACTGTAACTGTGTAAGAGACGACTGAAAGGTGTTCCCAGGAGAATGGGGGGGGGGGGGGGTTGGCTTGCCTCCAGATCAAGCTTATGGGTGGAGCCCAGAGAGGAGCCAGTCCAGAGTACAGGAAAACTGTTTGGATCCTTGAATCTTGTTAAACAGAGAAGGGAAATCATTCCAAAATGAGAATATTGGTTGGTAGGAGCCAAGTTGATTATAGGCACACTGAAAACACAGTTTTTAAAAATTGAGGCAATTATTCCCAAAATAATTTTGGAATAAAATCTGTACAGGAATAGCAAGTAATGTTTACACGGACTAGTACCACAAATGTTGCAATGTTGATTTAATGCCCTTACACACACACCCCCCAATGATGTCACTGTTTGGGGAGGATGAGGAGAGTGTGAGCATGCCCACCCAATACTTTCACTTTTCATACCAGGGAGTCAGTGAGATTCCAGACAGGAAGTGCCCAACATGTGGGCACTATTGAGAAAATAGAGGTAGTCACCAGAAGAATGAGTTCTGTACACTGAAAATGCTCACCATTCAACAGCGGTACCGCCGATGATGGGAGCTGGGCCAAGGGCCACTGTTTGCTGTG